TCTTGAATGTCCTTTACAGAGCCCAGATCTCATTCCTATTGAGCATCTTTGGGAGTACATCGACCGGCAATTAGTTGGTACAAAAACAACCAACAAAGACATTGATTAAAGAATGTTGGTATAATATTCCTCAGGATGTTCTCATTAAATTAGTAGATTCAATGCCTCGTCGCTGTGATGCTGTTTTAAAGGCAAATCAATATGCCACCAAATACTAAGTAATTTTTGAAAACTATTTTATTGTTAAAAAATTGTTATTTTGTGAGTTTCGTAAAAGTTTCAGTTTTTTTGAAATAAATATTAATCAAATTCAGTTGTTTCTAAACTTTAGTACAGAAGCTTTTTCAAAAAAACAATTAAATGTTAAATAACCGTTCAATTTTACAACTTTTGTGGTTTGTATTTTAAATTGAAATAATATAGAGCACATTTGGTAAAAATTCCAGCTTATTTATGAAAGTTTTTAAAAAGTTATGCAGTAAAAACTGAAAAAAAGTTTTCTAAAATTTAGCTTCTAAAATTTATTTAGCTAAAATTTAGTTTCTAAAAATGTTTCTAAAAGTTTTCTAAAATTGTTTCTAAAATTTAGCACACTACTGTACATATAGAAAATTTTTTGAAAATTGCATGTCAGCAAAAAAACATGCTTTACACATAAGAATACAAACCATTAAAAAAAAAGATAAAAACATTATTGAGTGCTGCCAAATTTAATTAGATTGTTTTCTTTTAATCCTAATATGTCAAAATTATGAATTTGTAGGAAAGTGAAAAAAGAATTTTTAAATCTATAGCATGTATTTGTTATGAACAATATTTTTTTTCCTGTAAAATAAATGTTTTATAATTCATGCTATGAAAATTATTATTTGTATTGTGGTAAATAAGCGAAGAGTTTTGACTTATTGTGATTTTTTAAAAAACTTTAAAAATTTGTTTTACATAGAAGTTATTACTTGTGCTAAATCAAGGGGTTGTTTCCTTTAGAACCTCCATAGATCATCCAGGTCATATTTTGAAAATCCGGAAAATCATTAGGGTAAAATATCTAGAAAAAATCAGGAATATATTTTCCCTTATATTCCTCTCAATTTTGCTTTAAGCTGAGTTGTTTTTAATTTTTTTTTAACTTTTCTCAATTTTTGTATGAGTAATGAGTGAAAAAGCTTAAAAAACAAATATATTACAAAAATATATTCCTAAACTTGTATATATGGAAAACATTTTTGATATCTGGAAAAACTAAAAGTTGAGAAAAATATCCGGAATTCCGGAAGCATCCAGAAAAAGATAATCCCTGTAAATCAGGGTGTTGTTTCCTTTTACAATTTTCTGTGATTTTCAACGACTTTAAAAATTTGCTTTACGTAGCCTCATCCTGACGATAAGAAATATTATTTCAATTTGTTCTGTATGTTTATTTTTATGTAGATACTTTTGAACTACATTCTTAATTAATTTTCTTGTAGTTACCATAGTTACTGATAGTTACCATAAAGGTCTAAAAACAGCTTCATTTTCAATAAATAAAATTTACATCCCATTCCTACGAATGAATTTTAAAACATTTTCCCATGTCTTCTTAGTTATAAAAACACATCTCTGCCTGTTGGAAAATTTATAATTCCACAGCATCTTATAAATCTCTTATGTGTAATATTTAAATTGCACTTTTTAAAAGTAAATGCAATTTCCATCTGCATTTTTTTAAGAAAGATTTTTTAATATCAAGGCACCTATTGGAGGTTGCGAGAGGAAAGTTTCTTTAATGATTTTAATAATTGTAAAATGTAAAAAAACACCAGTTGTTGCCTGTTTTTGAAATAAAGTTTTCCAAAATGAACTTAGGATTATTTCTAAAAAATGATAACATCCCTGGTTGTACAGCACTCAACTTGTTTCTCCACAAAGCAATCTTGTTCGTCAAGGCTCGGGTTTCGAAAATAAAAAGTTGAAAGAGAGTTGTAATCACAAATTAAAAGTAGCCTTCTTGACTGTAGTGGCCCAGTCGGTTTTGAGAAGTAAATTCAGTAAAAAATTATGTCATATTGTAAAAAAAATGCAAAAATTAAATAATTATAAGAACAATAAGTTTTTAATTTTTTGTTTAATGTTAATAAATTTTTTTTTAAATTCTAATTTAAAAAAACATAATTCTAATGTTTAATGTTAATAAATGTTTTTTTAAATTCTAATTTACTCCCAACAAGGCTGCAAGCAGTAAGAAAAACAAGAAGATGGGAGATGGTTCCAAAGGTGGAAGAGCTGAGAAAAAAATTAGACAAATAAAAGTTATTAGAGACAGATATGGTAAAAATGGTGTGACTTAGCTGAATGATAAGTCAAGTCAGAATAAGTTTTGGTAGATGGAACTACAGATGATAGTTCTTTCAAGCACCCACCATGATAGTATTTGTAAAAAAGAGAAAGAGATGCAACTTTACAACAATGGGAGAGAGGCTCAACCTCAAGCAAATAGAGCAGATTCAACTACATTTACAATGCGTTTTTTGACCTTGTCTAGAGGAGAATGAGCATCATTAGAAAAACCAACCCAAATGTAACAACAATATTCCATAGAGGATCGAATAAGAGATTTGTAGAGGTAGAGAATAGAATCAGGAGAAAGGTAATGGCAAGCACAATAAAGAGAGGCAACCTTTGAAGAGGCTAACTTTGCAATCAATTGTATATACTTAAACTGTTCGCAATCGCTCGAAAAATCATGGTTTAGTAGGTAGAGTTTCTCCAAAAAAACCTTTTTTGAGTAAAAAGAATCAAAAGAAAAGATTGGCTTGGGCTAAGAAACATTCAACTTGGGCTATTGATCAATGGCAAAGATTTTTATGGTCCGATGAAACAAAAATGTTTGTTTGGTTCTGATGGTATCATACACAAATGGAGAAAAAATGGTGAACGCCTAAACCCTAAATGTATGAGACCAACATTCAATTATGGAGGAGGCAATATTAAGCTTTATTATAACATTTCAATATTATATATACAAACTTATATTTTCCTCTTATCCAATGATGGTTTAGGGCTCCTTTGCTTAGAGTAGTGTTGGAAAACTCAAATTCATTGACAGAATAATGTCAAAAAAAATTTATACTGATATCATAAAACGAAAAGTGCCAGAAGTGCTGGCTTAACTCATATTTTTATCTTTTCAACACACATCAAAGTTAGCTACTTAGTGGTTAAAAAAAAAACACTATTAAGATGTTAGATTGGGTTCCTCAGTCACCAGACCTTAATCCGATTAAAAATTTATGGAATCTTTTTATAAAGTAGCTGACCAAAAACCATCTAATATGTCGCAATTAAAGGTAATTCTTATTAAAGAGTGGGAAAAAATTGACCCTTTTCTTAAAAACTTAGTAGATTCAATGCTTAAAAGATGTCTTGCAGTTATTAAAGCAAAAGACGCAAAAATAGACTATTAATTTTATATAAGCAAAATAATTATTTAAGGGTTGACTTTTTAACTTACACTTTTTCTAATTTAGTGGATAATTTTTGCTTTAAGTATAAGAATAATAATTTCTTGTTATAAAAATGTTTTTTGATATAAATTCAATTATGAAAAAAAAAATTGAGGTCAAAAATCTAAATTTAAGCATATAAAATTTTGTTTTTATTGAAAAATCATCAAGGGGTGATGATTTTTCAATAATCACCAGAAGGGCAACTGAAAGTAACCAGTTCTTTAATAACTTGCGAATCTGCATAAATGCAAAGGACTGCAAAATTTTAATAGTTGCAAACTTGCACAAATGTGTTGAAATATAGAAAAATAAATTATTAGAACTTTTTGACTTTAGGTAAAAATATCACTATGCATTTTATTGTTAAAAGCGATTACCAAAGAATTGTAATGAAAGATAATAATTAAACTTTAATTAGAGAGAACAAGAAAGAAAACAGGGAGAAAACATGTATTGACTAACTTAAATAAGAAGAGTATGCAAGGTGTGTACATAGATTGACTGAGGGTTTTGTTTTTAGCAGACAACCTATCAATCAAAAGAAAAATCCTTTTTAAGTTTTTGAACTTTTTTTCCAGTCTGGTCTATTAGAGTTTGGATTATTATGACATAGTCTGGTTCTGATCTCACAGAGATAAGGTTGGAGGTAAGTCAAACGTTAATTCAAGCTATATAAATTTGTTTGATTCAATCTCAAGTCAATTTAGTTGATTTAATCAGTCATTAAGATAAGTTTAATTTATCGAGGCATCGAATTGAAAAAATAGAGATTTTTAATACACATTTCGTTGATTCAAAATTTGAATAGATTTAAAATATAACAAATATATAAAAAATAACAAAACTAATAAAATAATACAAAGTACTAACATCTACCATGTTCCAACATAACATCTACTATGATATCCAATTACAATGATATAATATATTTCATTTAACTTTCCTAAGCATATTTAATTAATATTTACATTTAATACATATAAATAAAACATCAATATTAAATTTTTCTTACTTATCAACATCTAATGAGGAATAGCCACCTCTGGGACGATCAATTGGTACCTGTCAAAAGAGACTTATATTAGCACATACATAAATGAAATCTTTGAACTTATAACTAAAACTATAAAATATTTTAATAACTTATTACTTCAAAAAATATTTATAACCTATTATTATAAAAAAAATAATTATAAAAATTCATTATAAAATCATTATCATTATAAAAACAGTTTTATTTTCAACATTTTCCATATATTCAAATTTCAAACTCTAAAACTCTGTAAAACTATAATCGCTGACAACATGCTTTTATTAAATTATAAAATTTTGTTTTTAATTGGGAAAAATTACTTTGGATTTTTATATAGATGTGTTGGTACCTGGCGATGTTTTTTGTTATGCTAGGTACCTGGTAATTTATGGAATTGCTAGCTAATTTTTCGAGTGGCCTGGTTACCCCTGATAGAGCTAGGTAAATTTTTCAAATGTTCAGGAATCCTGGAATTTAATGGGTACATGGTAATTTATGTATGTTAACTGTTTTGACTAAATGAAAAGTACTATATGTTCATTAGTAAACTATTTTGAAGATTAGAAGTATTTTTATAGCGTTACTACAACCTGGAGGATTATCATCCAAAGACCCTCCTACCCTTAACCCACAATTAAAACGAGGATTATATCAGAGCTTTTTTTGCCTAGGTAAGTTGCCTTCACTAGTGACCCTAATCTGCCTCAACATAAGATTAGTTTAACACCATTACCAGGACAAAGTCATTGTTATAATTTATATAGTTATGTGCACAAACTACCAAAAATTAACAACTTTCAGTTATGTTCAATCTTGTAGTTTAATTTTTCAAGCCACTGAGATTGAAGTTAAATCTCAGTGGCTTGAAAATTTAAAGTATGTAGCAATAAATAAAAAATTTAATTATGCAAATTTCAAAATAAAAAAAAATATTTTCTGTCTTTTTTGTTTAACTAAGGCATTTAAGTAGAAATTTATAGAAAAAACTGCTTAGTTTTCAATACCCCTGATTTGAAAAACAAAATTTTATTAACTTTTTTTTCTATTCCTTAATATAAAGGTCAAACAAATATGATTAAATGTAATTATGTTAACTCTAGATTCCCAAATACAAACATAATCTGAGTTTTTCATATAGAAATGTTTGTATTTTAGGTTAACAAATATTTTTAACTCATTTTTTTTTTTATTTTTAAAAACTGTAACAATTTTATTTTTGATCAACTTTTAAATACAAAAGTTTTTTTACTCTAAACATAAAATAAATATATGAATATATTTTAAATATAAAAAGTATGAAACACAAAATATAAAATATCTGTTAAAACTTTGAAAAATATAGTAATTTGTTACAAAAAAACAACAACAAAGAACCAAGCCCTTGGTTTTTCGCAAAAAACAAAAAATATGTCAGAACAAAAAACACAAAATTATAGCATATTATTATCTAATGCAAACAAAGTCATCTACTTGACCACAACCATAGTTGCAAGTTTTGTTAAATTGGCAAAAAAAATTACTTTATTTTCCTTCAAAATTTTTAAAAATTGACTCATTTTACCTATAAGAAAATATTTAAATAAAACAAACATAAGTTTGTAGTATAATAAATATATAATAAATAATAAATGCAAAATTTGAAAACTTAGAACTTAACTGTAAAAACCTTAAAAAACAACATTTAAAAAATGAAAATTTTTAAATTAAAAATTTAAAATATATATAGTTCGATTAAAGCTAAATAAGTGTTTACCTTTTTGCCATATTTCACTGGATTTATAAATAAAAGTTCTTTTGTTCCTCGAAAAAGACAGTTAATGTTATCAAGATCATCATTATGCAAGACAGATTTTGTTCCACCAGAACTCATCCAGGTTACCTATAAAAATGAAGCATACCTAATATAGAAGTATATTAAAATAGCTAATAAATCCATTGTTAAAAAATATCTAAGTTTATAATTAACTTGAGAATATATCTTTCAAATCTTTAAACTTCTAATTTTATATTCAAACCAAACTATTATTATAATGCAATAACTTCATACATGATCCAGCATGAGCTTTCTGGTATTATTACATCTTAGAGGAGGTGGCATCAAAATGTCTTTTCTAAACACAGAAATAAATATTTTTTATAAAGGTAACAATTTCAACTGTTCATACATCTAGTCAATATGGTTGATGTTTTAACTTATTCTGAAATGATTTTATGAAAAAATTCACGAACATAGAACTAAAATTTCATTTTCATACAGAAGGGCTTAGCTCACCTTTCCCCCAATAGACTCATTAACAAAGAGTAATAAAACAGAAAAAATCAATGCCCAAAATGCAAATCTGTTTTCTTTTGTTTTAAACTATCACACTAAGTTTCAAATTACTGTATCTTCGAAAAAGACAAATAGTAATTTGATTATAGAAACATTGTTACCACAAAAAGAAATACTATTTTATTTTAAAAAAATAATCAGTTCCATACTTTACGATAATTTCATGTCATTAATTTGTGTCATATAATTTATTATATATGAGCAGGCCTTTATTGTAAAAGACACATAAAAGTAATAAAATTTGAAATTTCATAAAACCTTTATTATATGCTTCTCACACTTTTGTTTTTATGCATATTAACTTTTTTAACCACTACAATTTACTAAATTACCACAAAACTAGTGGAAAAATCAATTCAAAACAATGTAGAAATATTATGTACAAATGTTATATAATGTTATTTTCTTTTTATAATGTTATTTTAATTATAATTTTTATATAATGTTATTTTCTTTTTAGTTTTTTAAATAAATGTAGAATAATCTTTTTAATTTTATTTCTTTTTTTGACATTTAATCAACATAAAACTCAAAAAATGTTAAACACTCTTTTTTGTCAATATAAATTGAGATCCTCTCACCTTTAGTTCCAAAAGAAATTTTGTTGCCCAATCTTAGCAGTAGTAAGTAAAAGGATTCCCGGTCCAGACTAAAAATGGTACTTTTTACAAACCCAACCCTGGCAAATTTAGTTTAGATTTAGTAGGGATTGATAATATTTTATATATTATCAGAGTATTGGTTCTAAGGTTGTAAGCTGGTTCTAAGAAATCAAAATGGGAAGACTTTTTTGTCAAGACAAGAGTATAAAATTGATCTGTCTTCAATAGAGCAAATGTAAGATGGAAGATTGTTATATGAAACAGGATGTAAATGGAAGATTGTTATATGAAACAGGATGTAAATGGAAGATTGTTATATGAAACAGGAGCAATTTATAAAAGATAAATCTCATTTCCAGTTAAAGTTACCTTTAAAGTTACTCTTCTTCATTTCCCGTAACGTTACCCGTAACGTACGTTACCCACAACGTTACTGGAAATAAAGACAAGTGGACTTAGTTATTTACCTTTGAGAATGACTTTAATACTGTGGTTAGAAAGAAACTATTTAATAATAAAAAAAAGACTAATTTTAGGATAGCTGGAGAGGTCAGTGAGCTTTCTAGAGTTTTTAAAAATTGGAACCACTTTAGTTTCCAAGCACTTGTTGATAGTTTCCAAGAATTGAACAGAGTCCTGGAGAACACTTTTGTAAGACTATGTTGTGTAATCACAAGCTGTAGAAGAGTTTAATTAAGAATTGGTCATCAGAAACCAAATTGATTAAATGCCTAACAATGCACTATGGTTTCTGAGACCGGATTTTTTGTCAGAAACTTATTTTTTTTAAGTATTAAATAAGATTTTTTTTTTAATGTGGTACTTAAAAGTAAACCCTTCAAATTTCCATCAAGATCTTCTGAAACACCGAGTTTATAATATACCAAAAGATCAGATTGAGCCAAGAGATTGGATCAGATCAGGATCAAGATATTGACAAAAAATAGGTAGTTGCCAATAGTGATTTTTTTTGTCTAATAATAAAAAAATTCAAATTAGCATTACTTAATTTATGATGCTAATTGATGGCAAAATTAAAATTTAAAAAAAAAACTGGAGCAAAATCAAATCAAGCTTGTCTGATAATTATTTTGTTAAAGTGCAGGAATTCAAAACCACATAATTATTTAAGCTTAAACCTTATACTTTACAGTATAACATTAATCCACTACATGCTTGGATACAATTTTTTGAATGCATTGTCCACATATCATATAGATAGGATTTATTTAAATGGCAAATTCATGGTACTAATAAAAAAAAAATTGTTTTATGTAGAAAAAAAAGAAATACAACAACAATTCTTTGAAAATTTATTTAAAGAAGAAGGTAGTGACAGTGATTACTTAATTTCTACTAACTATTTAGATTTTATTAAATATGACAGTGAAATATAGTTGATAATTCCTATGTATGAATTCATCTAATGATATTTCTTTGCAATAAATATAAATAAAATATAACTATATATTAAATATATCTATATATTGAATGAATATAAATATACTAAAAATATTATATACTTTTATATATATATATATATATAGACTTGGCCAGGAAGGCATGCGATTTCAAGTCTTTATATGACCACGCAAATAACATTTTGCTATGATGATTTAAGCATGGCTTTTAACAAATGCGCTTTTAAAAAATGGTTTTTTAATTACGTTAAAAAAAAATAAATTTGACGCATTTATCTTTACTAACGTTTTTATATTAGCAAAACGCTTTTGAATAAAGATTTTAATTATCATTGAAAGTTGTATATTTCTTTATTTATATTATTTAACTATATTAGATAGTGGTCATATTATGATGTGAAATCGCACGCCTTCCTGGCCAAGCCTATATATATATATATATATATATATATATATATATATATATATATATATATATATATATATATATATATATATATATATATATATATATATATATATATATATATATATATATATATATATATATATATATATATATATATATATATATAAATAGCAAATACTCAAAGCAACTTAATGTGTTAATTAGTGAATGGTGATTAACTTTTAATTTTGTGCTAATTTTTAATTGACATTTTTTAATAATGACAATGTTAAAAATTATGTTCAAAAGTATGTTTAAAAGAAAGCAAATTTTGTGACAAAATTATAACAATATTAATTTTATAATCAGTCATGAACAGTAAACAAAAAATTTCAAGACTTTTTCAAGCCAAGTCAATGCCAAAACAAATTTATTTTTATTTATTCTTATTGAATAAGGCTTTAAAATAAAACATCTTACTGTAAATAATCTGGAACTTTGCTAACCATATAAATTTCCTCTTTGTGATATCGATTAATAAAATCCAGCATAGAAGTATAAAACCCTTGTGCCTCTCGAATTTCTTTCAAATTTGGTTCACAGGCAACTTGCTCAGTGGCAGCCTCTGGAAAGCTTTTCATGTAGTCATCGCTCCAAAGTTTAAAAGCTGGCTGATTAACAGCACCCTTTTTCAGCAAAAATGGTCTTCCAGGCTTTACATAATCTTTGAAAAAATCTGTCAAAGTTAAAAAATATAGTGAAAACTATGTCTTAATAAAAACTTTTTTAATAAAATATTTAAAAACATATTAGAACTAACTACAATTAAATATAAAAGAATATACTCAATGATGTTGTATATAAAAGTACATGTATATATATATATATATATATATATATATATATATATATATATATATATATATATATATATATATATATATATATATATATATATATACATATATATATATATATATATATATATATATATATATATATATATATATATATATATATATATATATATATATATATATATATATATATATATATATATATAGAGAGAGAGAGAGAGAGAGAGAGTGGAAAATAAGAAATCAAAAGCAAGCAATAATATATATATATATATATATATATATATATATATATATATATATATATATATATATATATATATATATATATATATATATATATATTTATATATATATATTTATATATATATATATATATATATATATATATATATATATATATGCCGGCTACCCAGTTCAGAACTAGGGACTCGGTATTTCGGCGGTTTTACCGGGTACCCAGAATCGATCATTTTGTTGATGTACTTGGCACCGGTTATCTGGAAAAATATTTTTAACAGACATAAACTTTAAGCGCTGTAACTAATAAATAATAAAAATAGTAAAACAAATTTTGCTTTAGTGTTACTTTAAGTAGTGTGGAAATATTATCAACCAGATAAAAAATAGTGCTTCAACCAACAAATTTCTTGATAATTTCAGAAGTTGATAACTCCTATGTACTAAATTTAGACGTGTCTCACTTAAATTACTTTTTCAAATATTTTTTTGCTATATTATATTGCAAAACATTGATAGCAGATAGTATTACAAAAAGAAAACTGATTTGTACAGATATAAAAACCGTAAAGTAAAACAAAATAATATGAGAATATGAAAGGAATAAAAAAAAAAGTAAAAAAAAATGAGTAAATGCTTCTTTTTATTGCTTAGAACACAAGAGAAAGATACATTTTTTGCAATTTTAATTGCGAAAAATGAATGAGTTTAATACTTCGGGTAGGTTGTTTTTGAATAAGGTTTTTGCTAAATGATCATTTACAATAAATAAACGTTATTTGCTTTATTCTTACTTTTTTTATTGGACTTTGTGCTGGGTACCCAGTCTTGAATCCAGTTTTTGCTACCGGGTACTCGGAATTGGGACCCGACATTTGAAAAAACAAATTTTTAAATTTGTTTTTTCAAATGTCTTTGCTAAACTTGACTGTTTTTATCAATGCACAGGAAAACGAGAAAACTAATTGCTATTTATTTGTAAAAAAAAAATTTTAATAAGTTTTTCATGTAAAAAAATGAAACGATACTCTAAAACCTTGTGGGCTTTAGTGTATTGTTAATTTACTGAATTTTAATAAAATTTTTAGGAGCCTATTTAAAACTTTTATTTAAGTTTTTAAATACATTTTTTTAAACAGAGCAATCGTTATGTTCAATATTTCTAACAATTGGTTTCAACATAAACTGGGCAATATAAAAGAAACAATTTCAGACATGCATCAAATGCTGTAAATACATTTATTAAAGAAACTATGTTATTCTTTTATTTAACTTATTCCGTCATTACAAAATTTATTATATATATATTATATATATATATATATATATATATATATATATATATATATATATATATATATATATATATATATATATATATATATATATATATATATAGTGCTCAAAGTGAGGTGGGATGAGGCGGGATGCCATCCCGTCACCTTTTTATAAAGTATAAACCATCCCGCCACTTTTTTGTAAATCTCTATACATATATATATATATATATATATATATATATATATATATATATATATATATATATATATATATATATATATATATATATATATATATATATATATATATATACAATTAAAAATGCTTAAGTCATGTTTGAAACAAATAATTGCTAAATCTTTTGGATTTTGCAAATACTAGAGTCTTAAAAAATAAGAAAACAACCTTATCATGTTGCTGCAACCCTGACTGTTATGAGTGCAATATTGCAATATGCAGTTTTATAAACTAATAGAACTGCAATCAATATTGTTAATAAACATTATGGTTCACTATACCAGTTTCAGCAGGAATCAAACAATTTTTTTAGTTTTTAAATTTCTGAAGAAAACTTTAGCATTTACAGAAAAAAACATTAACTATTTCTTTATCAGAGAAATTATGCAGAGAGCAAACATCTTTTTAGCCAGAAACCAATAGAAAAACCTTGTTATTCTAAAACTATTGAATCTTATTATTACATCTCAGAAGTTTTAAATTCTTTTGAGAACTATTTTATAATATCTTTAAGGTAAATATAATAATTAATCTCTTTTGAATGGGTCAGATTTTATTATCAGATTTTATTATCATGCAAAACTTTCCATTAGTACTCTCTTTTGCATTTTAAGAAATATTAAGTGTCAGCTGAAAAGCAGATGGGAAGACAAAATTTTTAGAGCAACACTAACCTTTGGAAGACAACCATCACAAATGGTTTTCACTTGATGAAATGGCGCTGATAATACATTAGCATAATACTCAAATCAAATATTGCTTATTTCACTAATAAAAAAGTCCTTGAAAAATATGAGGTAAGGAAATAAAAATATAAACATAAGAAGTTTTCAGGTTCCACTACTAAATACCTTTGTTTTATCTACTAACAAATAAATTAGGAGTTCCATACCAAGGTCTCAAAAAATACTCAGTCTCAATCTGCAAAACAGGTTAATGCTAGGAAGGACATCTCGTTGTAAAAAATTGCTTCAACTCTTCTATCATGTCGTATATACAAATAATTCATAAATAAAAAATGGCATTACAAAAATGTATGATGAAAGTGAAGGCAACTTTTTGCCTAAACCATAATAGTGTTGAAGTTTGCTTTCATCAGGGCTAAGAAGTCTCACCTACAACTTCATTCCTTTTTTAAAAATGAGCATTAAAAAAATAAGTTCAATTTTTATTACCACATTGTAATCAAAGTCTTCATACTAATGACAAAGAGTCACCGAAATAACCATAAACTGACGCCATTTTGACCATATTTTTTTAGAAAACAAAACACAAAGAATCTTGATTATGTTTCATCCTAGAATATATTTTTATTGAACTTAATGCTGCCATTACTCGTTCGTGCGTGTTTGTCATGGAACTCATGGCAGCCATTACACCCGAGTTAATGGCAAGAAAGAGTCGCAGCACTTTTTCTAATAAGAAAATGTGAGCGAAAGTGTCTGCAAATATCTATCTTATGTAAACTTAAATTTATGTAATGTTAAAAATTATATCATGCTTTACAGTTTTTTTTATACTTAAAAATTGGATTGCGGCAACATCTCTTTAGTTTTGATTTATAGCATTTATTTGCCATTTTCTAAAGACTTTTGTTTATTAAATAATGCTAAAACTTTTATTGCACAATACATATCAGTGGCCAAAGTGGTTGGCTTGCAGCATTTCTGAACTGAATAGCTGTGGTTCAAATCCTCAAAAAAAATGTTTACACATTTTTTTTTAATCTCATTTGATTTTTTAAAATACAAAATAAAATATTTTTTAAGTTATAGATATTTTATAGTTATCATGTATAAAGATATTATATACTATAACAAAAAAAAAGGGAGAGAATTTTTAAAAAAGCTTAAAATTTCTAAAAACATCAAAACACCGATAGAAATTTGTTGCGTATATATGTCAGGCCTTGTTTTAAAGCGTCACACCTAGAGCGATTTACATACGCCTTAAGCAATTTTTACGTACGTGTAGAGCTGTTTTGGTTAAGCTACTTTTTATCATTTTTTAACTTTTAAATTAGCGGTAACATAAAAGAAGTAATTAACTTTTAAAAAAACCACATTAACTTTTGAATAACAATATGTAAAAATATTTATTACAAAAAAGAAGTTACGTTAAAAATAATTGTAGTAACTTTTCATCGCGATATAACTTACCTTTTTATAACAACTAATTTTACGCTAAACTTCTTATTCAAATATTTAGTAAAATGAAAAATTGTTCGTCAATCTTTAACTACAAATTTTTTGCAAATGTATTTAATAAAAAGTAGTAATTTTTTAAAGTTTTCAGTAAAAAAACTTTTAAAAAATCTATATTCCTAATTTATTAATACAGAATATAAATGTTTTTTGTAACATAGATTTTTTCAGAGTTTTTTATTTTATTATTCCAAGTTAAATTTTTTTTATTTTATTATTCCAAGTTAAATTGCTTACAAACGAAAAAAAAAAAAAAGAGTTTTGTAATTATACGTAGAATAAAAATACTTTTGAGTATTTAATATTTCTCAAAATATCAAGACATTTTTTCGAGATATTAAAAAAAATGTGCCAATGAATAAACAATCTATTTGTATTGTACTAAAAATTACTTCATTATTACTCTTTGCTTTTCTTATTAGTTAAAGGTACCTTTACCTTTAAGTTATGCAGGGGGAGGGGGCCGGCACAAAAAACAAAATTACCTGTTACTCGCAATTTTTGAATGAAGACAATTTGTTAAATTTCTTCTGCATGCGATTCAATAAGTTTTTTTTCATAAATCAAGTTATATTATAAGGTAAAGAAATCACAAGTAGACTATAACATCTGCTGATGACACTAATATTACGTTGAATATATTTATATAACGGAGGTTTCATTATGCACGCGCACATTACAGACTCCGTTAAATGACTGTCTCTACTTTTTACCAATGACTATGTATTTTTCTGTATAAAATAAGACAAACTAGTATATAAAAACCTCGTATATTTCTATTCTCTCCAAATTGTTTAAAGTTCAAATATGAATTGTATTTTGAAGGACAAAAGATTTACTTTGAAAACTTTTAAATCATGGGACTTTGACGATGCTTTTCTAATTGAAACTATCACAGAAAAAGAGAAGACTTATGT